CGCGGGCGGAAGCCGTGGGTCCTGAATTTCACCATCCCTGCCTCTCAGGAACACTTCCTCTAAAATAGACCTGTTCGGTTTTTTGTCAGTCAACTTAATAGTGCTCTTTCCAACATCACAATTCAAAAGTATCTGTATTCATTGACCAACTTTATGAAGCAAAGGAAACAACTGAAAATATCATGACTTGGATCAGGCACACCTTACACTTTAAATTGACATCTTTTCTCTTTAGCACTTTGGAGAGGTGCTTGGCAGCAGATTAAAAAAAACCAAAGAAGCAAACAAAAAAACCACAAACCTATCTAAAATAAATGGGCCTTCAAAAACTCTATAAACAAAAAAGGAACAATGATAGATATAAAACAGGATTAGAGCCCTTCAGTAAGTAAAACATTTAAAAATTAAGAGAAATAGCTGTAAACACTCATTAATAATTGAACATGGAATGCATAAAATGTACATCTAAGAAAAGTGGAAATTGTCAAAAATTAGGTGGAACACATAAAAATCAACATCCTAGGCATCAGTGAGCGGAGACAGACTGGTATTTATTACATTGATTCACATAAAAATAGGATCTATTATGCTCGGAATGGCAAATTGAGAAAGAACAGCGATAGTCAAACAGAACATTTCCAGACCCATCCTGAAGTACAGAGCGATAGGGTATCCATTTGCACACAAGCAAGGTCTTTCAATATAACTATAATTCAAATAAACACACTAACAACTAAAGCAAAAAAGTAAGACATTGGAGACTTTTGCCAACTTCTCCAGTGTGAAACTGATCAAGCATGCAATCAAGATATATTACAGATGACTGTCAGAAAACTACAACTCCTAATTGGAAAACACTGGCTTGATGACAAAATGAAGCTGGAGATCTAATGATAGAATTTTGCACAATTAATAACACATTGCAAATATTAAAAGAAAAAAAACAGCATCTGTATGTATGGACCTCACTGATGGACAACACAGGAATTGTTGGAGAAGCTCAATATCAGCAGTCAAAACAAGGCCTTCTGTGGAAAATAAGTCCACAAGAATCAAAATATGACCTAGACTCTATCCCTCCTAAATTTAAAAAGTCATCTTAAGAATAGAATTAATACACTGGACTAGTGACTGAAACTAGGTGAGTTATGGGATAGGGTAAAGAATATCACCCATGTGGTTGTTTTATGCTGTTGAATCGAAAAGTCTTAACTGATCCTCCAGTGGCTTTTCAGAGACAAATGTTCTTTTTTAGATGACTTTGATTTGACTCTCACTCTTAGGGACTCTTAGCAACAGATCAAAATCTTGCCCTATTCTGCACCATCCTCATAATCTGGTGCCTCCTGATAGCAAGTTGAAACAGCAAGTGAGGCAAAGTTTCCCCACCCATGCTTCTAAAGAACACCCACGTTGCACTTCCAAACAAATCAAGAAAGATTTGTTTATTCTTTTGATGTTGTTGTTTTTATTGTTGCTGCTACTGTTGTTGTGTACCATAGAGTCTGAACCCAAAGCTCACTCATTGGCAGGTTTTCAAAGGCAGTTAATCACGTGGGAGGAGATTGCCCATCCTTCTCCTCGGAGCAGCTGGTGCCCTTGAACCACGAGCCTTCAGGATTGCAGTGCAGCTTCTTGCCAGTAGGCCACCAGAGTTCCCTATTCTTTTGATAGTCCTTGGAATATGTAGTACTCTTCATCAACACCACAATTCAAAGGCATTGATCCTTCTTACTCTTCCTTATTTACTGGCATCTTTAACATGCTCATGAAGAAATTGAAAACACCATGACTTGGGTCAGGTGAACCTTTTAACTGAAATCCTTGCTTGTTAGCACATGAAAGAGGTCCTTGACAGCATATTTGCCCAATGCAAATAAGTCATCTGATATACTGTTTGTTCCTACTATAGAGCTAATGGGGGGCTGGATCTAAGTAAAATTTAATCATTAAAAATTTCAATCTTTTCTCCATCTGACTTGATGTTGCCTATTGATCCTTGTGT